AGGAATGAATCATCTAACAGAAGTTAGAATTTGGGTTCCCATGGTAGTTGTAGGTTGTCTTAATTTTAGATTGCTATACCGAAGTTCTATAGCAATTTTATTCAGGATGTTGAACGTCTTGAGGTTATGATCTTTTCATGCTGCAAATTAAGTATTTCAAGAAAAACACATAATAAAATACTTTTTTTTTTTTCCTTTGGACCTAGGCTGTGAAAGCTAGCTCTGAGGCAACTGAACTTCTTCAGAATATCCGTCAAGCAAAGGAAAGAGCTGAGAAGGAGTTGGAGAAACTGCAGAATCGAGAAGATTCTAATGAAAGCATGAAGAAGAAATTACTTGAAGCAGAGGTGAGTGGAGAGTGTTTATCTAGAGTAAATGAGTTATTGGGATGTGTTTGGGTTTAGGAACTTTCAGCTGGATAACTGTGAATAGCTTGTATTCCTGTAGTAACGCTTTGTAGGAAAGTAGTGTTACACGTTAATCCATTTTTAATTAAAAAATATATTTCTCTGAGGAAAACTTACTGAGAAGCTAATTTTATTTTCAGTGAGGACTCATTGTGGACATGTGATTAGGATATGGGATTTGAGGTGTGAGGAGGATTTCAGATTTAAAAGACAACCACATATTGATTGCTTCAGCTGACTTTTTCCAGAGACTACTCATTGCTGTGTGATAATCCAAAGCTGATTAGCCTAAATGGCAATTAATAATTGCTCTGCAGGAACGGCGCCATTCTCTGGAGAATCAAGTGAAGAGGTTAGAGACTGTGGAACGAAGAGAAAACCGTCTAAAGGAAGATATTCAGACTAAATCTCAACAGATTCAACAGATGGCAGAAAAAATTCTGGTGAGCAGAGGTGAAAATGAAAGATAAAGGGTAAGAGTTTGTAAGAAAGGGGTAGGAAAGGAACGGAAGACATAGAATTGCATAGAGTAAGGTGGAAATTGTTGAATAAAGGGGTTGGTTTCATGTACTACTCATAATGGAAATAGCTTGAGTGCTCAAGGTGCAGCGTTCCTGTACCTGTAATCTTAAGACTACTTTAAAATTCTAGTTGCCTCAGTGGGAGCGCTTTTAAGTCAACTTAGTAATATTTAAATTAATTACCTGATGTTTGTTTCAGATGGAAAACATTCTCAGTACAGAGTTCTGCAACAATAAAAGCTTTGATATCTAGCTTTTAAACTAAATTACAAAGGAATTTAGAGGTCAGATCTACTTGAAATGCTTACATTTTGTAGCAGAGTGAAATTAGTCATCTAAACTGTTCTCCAAAGATAATATTTGTCAGAGATCCATTTTCACCCACATACCTTCTCTGTTGGCAATTTCTTGTTTCCCTCTTTGTTAAACCTATTAAGTCTTTATAGGTAGTGTGTACTTCAGTCTACAGTGAACCAAGCAGAGGGTGCTTCTAACACTTTTACTTCCCTGGGACAGGAAGTATAATCTTACAGTGAAGTAATTAATTTGTGTTTCTCATGAATTCTCTTTCTGTGTTCCCAATGCCCTTTCAGTAATGGACTTTTCTGCATTATGACTGCAAATCTGTCAGTCCACAGGGGAAAGGGATCTTTTTAATTTTATTATATTGCCCATCTCCAGTCCTGGGTCGTGAAAGCCAATATATTTGTCCTCTGGGGAATACACCTCTAAAGAGGCTGTTCCAGAAGATGAATTAAAGATTTGTATTATGTTGTTCTATTGCTCCTCATAAACCTGGATTGCATCAGCAGTGTTTTGTTAGAATACTTTTGACAGTGCCTTAAAGCAGACACCTAAAAAAGTATAGCAAGTGAAGGGATGGCAGACCTGATGAGAACATGCTGTACAAACTTAATTTTTGTAGCCAAAGTGAAGGAAGATCAGTTAATGTTTAACAGAAGGAGCATTATGAGCTTTATCTACTCTGTTGGTTTTTGGTTATAAGGTTCAATAAAGTTGGATAAAACTGTAGTCCTATAAAGGACTAGATATTTGTCAGTTTTTGTCTTTGCTTTGTTTCTTTAATGGCTGCTACCGGGACAGCTAATGTTTTGAACATGTCGGGATATACGATAAAGTCAAAAAGATAGTTCTTTCTATTGATAGGAATCCTGAGTATAGACAAACCTGAGGAAGGCCTAATGGGAATGTGTAAATAATTGTATTTGGAGTCAACAGATGACCCATATTTGTTCTAAGTAGTAGCTGCATATGTAGACTTTAGGATCAGAACATTTGAACTCTCTCTCAAAAAGGTAGAGTTAGTCTTTCATAGTGTTCTCTCCTTCAAACTGTTTTGATAACATGAATGCATGGTAAGTGGGAGACTATGGCTTTGCTGGGCACAGAGCCAACTTTATATTTAGAAATAGTGTAAAACTTTGGATTGTTTCATAAGCCTCTTGTATATATTTGGACATTGTAGCTTGGCTTTGATTACGTTCTCAGTGGAGGCAAAACTGGAAGGGAATGCAGAAATATCTACTAATTGTTTTACTCTGTTGCACATATTTTGCAGTTCTTATAGGTAATTTCCAGAGGGTTCTGGCAGAATATTGGGGGAGCACAAAGCTATTTTTTGGAAAAGGACAAATGGGAATTGAAGAAATAATCCTACAGGGTCTTTCCTAGTCCCCTGCAACTCTATTTGGAGAGCATGGAGTAATGATTTCTTTTTTTTTTTTTAATTTTTTTTTCTCTACTTCTACCCCTTTTTTTCCCCTCAAATTGATATCTTTAAACACTTGACTTTTCCTGGTATAGAAAGGACAGAAATGATAGCAAACAAATGAATGAAAAAAAAAAAAGCAGAGAGGTTTTTGTGTTAGCATCTCTCAGGAATAGCAATACCCTTCTTCTCCGAGTGGTTTTTTTTTTTTTTGGTGATAGTATATAAGATTGTGATATATGATGCCTGAATTGCTTTTGAGAGATCACTTAATTCTGAAGCACGATGCTGTTTGGATTTGATCTTTGTTATCTCTATAAGAACTCTCATAAGGCCTTGGAGGATGTGGGGAAGAAGGAATGAAAGCATAGGAGCGAGGATATAATGGCTTTTTAATGTTTTTGATGAAAAAGCTGAAAGCAGACTTGTAGGAGTTGTAAGAGAAGGCTTATAAGACTTGTAAGAGAAGAAACATTTGAGAGATCTAGCAGTACCTGAGAAGACCTGCTGATCTGCCTATGAGAACTGAATAAAAAGTAAGAAACAAGTTAGAGAAGTTACTTATTACTGCTTGAAAGTGTAGATCCTTACTATCATGGTAATAATGACTGAAAGTTAGAGCTACATAGACAGAATAGTAAGTGAGAACTGGAATGGTAAAAGATTACCTTTTTAAGCCCATACAGGCTGTAAAGTGCCACTTCAGACACTGGTGAAGCTTCTTCTGCAGTATGAGCAGTCTGATGCTGGTAGCTTTGAAGCTGCTGTGCTGATCTGGTTGTCTGATTCATTGCCAGGACCTAAACTGTGTGGGCTTCCAGGGGAGACGAATTGTCCCTCTTGTTGCTGGGAGACATATTTCAATTGCAAAAAGCAATAATCTCCATTCCATGCAGAAGTGTCAGGTAGTAGGCATTGTGGATGACCTACTTCTGGTGAACTTCCTATTTGGTTTTTACCTCTGGCAAAAGAGGTTTATTGCAATTGCTGGAGCAAAGAAGTCTTTGTATGTGTTCAAGATGAGGAAGGTCAGAAAAGAGAGTAGGAAGTGTGCTGAAGTAGAAATACCAGGAAATTTTCTTCCACTGTGCAGTTATGAAGGCAGATAGGAGACCTGGAGGCATCCCAAAACTTGAACTTGTCCATGCAATAGTCAACCTGCTGGTAGTGAACTATAGATCTGGACCTGCCTGTTGTTCTAAAGGAATTGTTGGAATGGCAAATATGGCAATGAACGAGCATGAAGTTCTAAACGCAACTCTTGAGAGATGTCCTCTTGAAAGATATTTAGAGATATATTCTCAATAATGTATTCAGACAACAGAATGTTCCTCTTACCGAAATAGCGAACTTCTGAAATGCAGAATTATTTAAATCCTTACTGTGTTCAGCTCAGACTATCCATGTGAGATTAAGTGGATAAAAATATTATGGAACCGTTTGCAGCATATATTGCAGCCTGCACTTTTCACTTTCAAAGCAATTCGTTAATGGTTATCCTGACAACATTCGTCAGAGGAATACAGCAAAGTAAATACTATTCCCGTTCTGTGACTGTAGAATGAAAAGTATAGATAGCAAACCACCCTCTATTGAGACCTTCTGAGAGAGAGCTTGTTAAAAATATGTCTGAACTTCTTGCTCTATGCCACTGCAGCCATGAAGTGCTTGTAACTGCTTGTTGTCACCAAACATCCTTGGCCCATCTTTGGGAATACTTTATTGGAAAACAGGTTCTTACTGTGGAGGTGTATATTGCCAAAAACAAAGATTCTGTCTCTGCAGCTGTGGAGTAGATGGGTCAGCAGCAGTATGCAAAGCTTAAAACTGATAATGTGCCACTTTCATAATGCTCTTTCGTAATGACAGCCGTGGTCTAGAGATTTTATAGTATGAAGTCTTAAGATATGTATAAAGAACTTTACTCTTTCCTTGTGTGTCTGAATATGAATCCTTGCTGTCTTTAGGAGCTGGAAGAAAAGCATCGTGAGGCTCAGATCGCAGCACAACATCTGGAGTTGCAGCTGAAACAGAAGGAGCAATTCTATGAGGAAAAACTCAAAGTAAAAATATCTTTTTATCATCTGCATACAAATTTTTGTAGGTAGAACGGGTTCAGGGAAAAAACAGTTGTCTTTAGGCTCCATGTACTTTGTTGTGTGAGTTGCCTTCTTGCTTCACTGCTGAAGTGTTGTTCAGAGAGCTTAGTGCAATCTGACTAAGTTTTCCTTCTAAACTGTGCCATCGTACCTTATCTGTGGTTTAACATTGTATTAAAGCACGTGGCATTGGAAGTCAGGACTACAGGAATCCAGTTTGTTAATTGTAACTTGACCACTGCTAACTAAATAATTCCTACTTAATGCTGTTGAATTTCACATCTTGAAAAGGCTTTCAGTTCCTACCACTGATTTTCTAATTTGTTTAAGAGAATTCACACAGCCTACCTGGAATTTTTAAACTCAGCAAATACTGCAGCATTTCTGAAATTCCATCCTCTTGGAGCTGTAACATCTGCCAAGAAGCCACAGAAAACACCCACTCTGTTTTTGTCTTTTCCAGGGTAGCATAAGACTTTAACAAACAGAAGTAGAATTACAGACACCATCTAAAATTTGGAAAAGCAAATTAGGAAATGGGAGTATGTGCTCTACTTAAGCATTTTTCCAAAGAACCTACAATAGCCAGCCAGTGCGTTTTGTAAGGATCTGTGTTTCTACTAAACATGATCTGTTTCAAGCTATCTTTGTCTATTATTTTTACTTAGAACTATACTTCCATGTTTCACCTTAAATTTAAGAGCATGTAATATTTAAGAGGAGAAAAGGAATTCCTGTGGGGAAAAACATGAAGGAAAACAGAGACGAGGGTTTCCTGGCAGATTTTAGCATGTGGTAGTATTCAAGAATGAGAAGAGAATGACAGAAAATGAAGCTCAGAGGTAGATGTCGGGAAAGGAGAAGTGATGACATAAAAACTGGAAAAGAGGATAGAGACTGGGAATAGAATTAGAAGAAAAAGAGAACCCGTGTGTAATGGGGATATATGATTTAGTAGGGGAAATCAGGAAGCCAGATGAAAGGGATTCAGGAAATGGGATGGATGTCACTGGAATGGTAAAAGATATCCTGTGGTGTCCAGGCTTTTCTGTTGCATTAGTCTGGGATGTTTCTTGAACACAGTTTATAGGGCTTTAAATAAATAAATAAATAAATCAACAATGACTCCCGTCTTCATAAAATTCCATCATTAAATTCAGTCTTCAGGGGTAACCTAGAAACATTCTTCTTTGAGTTTGATGTTCCAGGGATTTCGTGCCATTGCATGTTGGGTCTAATTTTGCTTGAGACACAATCAATTGCTTAATGCAATCCTATTTTTCTTTATGATTTTCTTTTTGTTTGCCCTTTGCGCAATGAAACAAAAATAAATTAAACAAAAGAAATGTCTTTATTTAGGTGCTGGAAAATCAGATGAAGAAAGATCTTGCTGATAAGGAAGCACTTGAGAATATGCTGAGAAGACATGAAGAAGAAGCACGTGAAAAATGTAAAGTCCTGGCTGAACAGAAGGCGGTATGTGTAGCTGAATTGGAAACTGGAAAACATCTTAAGAGTCGCTTTTTGAGACCCTGATTTGGAGCAAGATAGTCGTCTTTGAGATTTTTGTATTGCTGCTGAGTTGTGTTGAAGGAAATCTAGTGTTTAATATTAAAAGGCATATTTTAATTTAAGATATCTTCAGGAACATTTGCTTAAAAGTAGCCACATAGCTTGCTGTGTACCAGTCATGTAGTGCACAGGTAATATAATAGCTGCTTGCCCTCAATATTAAAGCAGTAGAAGAGCAGTTGTAAATGGTTCTGATGTTTGCATCTGTGATGCTGCTTTATTTCACTGTTTGATCTTTATTCTTTTATTTGTTTTTGTTTCTGCACAAGGTTTTGGAGACTTTTTTTTTTTTTTTTAAACGTTGCCTTTAAAGTCACTTCAGTTGTGCGATCTCAAAGGTCCACTGCTCTGTTTCAGATGATCAATGCCATGGATTCGAAGATTAGGTCACTGGAGCAGAGAATAGTGGAACTGTCTGAGGCCAATAAGCTGGCAGCAAATAGCAGCCTTTTTACCCAGAGGAACATGTAAGTATAGCAACTGCTAGCAAAGTGGTCACTACTGAACAGCTCTCAGTAAAATTTGTTCTCTAAACCTAAAAGCAGCCCTTTTCTGCAGACCTGCTGTGCTCCCCTCTTGTTTTTATGGTCTGTGATGCAAAAATCTGCTCATTCTCCAAATGGTTGTAGTTCAATGCTTATTTTGTGTTTTCTCAAACGTGACTAGTAAAATTTGTTTGTATTGCTATGTTTACTTTGGAGCCTTTCCTGAGGCTGGTTCTTTGTGCAACTTTACCAAATATGTGAAATGAATACTAATAATTTTGAAGTCTAAGATACCTCTGGAGGGACATTTATTCCCTTTTTGAACATATGTATTGCTAAGAGATTGCGGTTCCTATGACAGCTACTTGATGTTGAAATTGAAAACTTTAAATACCTTTCCTTCACAAACTTTCCTTCCTCTCCTGTTGAGTGACAAGACAAGTGAGAAGACTGGATTTTAAGCCAAGAGTTTTCCTGCAAGTTTTTGAGATGCTGATTGCAAGTGTGAGACAGTTTCTTACTGAAATGGGCATAAGTAAAAAGAAGTAAAAGATATCTCAGCTTCATCTTCAGAATTCTACCTCAATTCTTTTTATTTTCTTCCTAATCAAGATAACACTTGCATGTATTGGCTTCTCACTTTCAGCCTCTCTTTAGTTCTCGTTATCAATGACCAGTGTAATAGTTGCTTCCGTGTTTTGGGGATCCTACCGGCCGAGATCTGACATCATCCTGAATCAGTGTGCAATCAGCAACTATTTTTGTGGTGAATTATTTTTGTTTATTAAATGCAGAGCAAACCTTGGACCTTTTGATCTTCTATATCAGATCTTTGATTACTTGAACTTTATTTTGCTTTGTATTTTGGCTATGATTCCTTATCTTTGTAGAGATGTTTTTCTTTCTTAAATGACTTAAAGGCATCCTACTTCAAATATAGGAAAAAAGCTCAGATTGTTTGATGTGCAAGACAGGGCTAGTGTAGTGTATGCTGTTATTGAGTTAAAAGTTTCATCAAGTTCGGCTATCTGCAGAAATGTTTTCAGTGTCTATCAGCTGCTAGAGGCAGTGTTAGTTAGTGTCTCTGTGGGAAGTGTTTGGACAGATCCACCTATAATATTGAATGGAGACAAGCAAGGATGAATTTTGACAAAGAGCTGCTTTGTGTGTTTTTTTTTTCTTTTTTCCTTTTCAGTGATGATTATGCCTCCAGATATGTAATGGCACCAGTTTTTGTTATATTGCAAATAGTTGGCGAGTTTTTCTAGCCTGAGCAGCCAAAAATATTCATAGAAATAGCTGAGAAAGCTAATTACTGCTTTGTATTCTGGTTGTATATGCTCCAGATGACCTCCAGTTAATCACCCAGGAAATGTGTTGAGGAAGCCAAAGCCATAACTTGCCATCGGTCTGAAGAAAACAGCAGTAGTGTTTCCACTTGTGCCTGGGAAGCATATGTAAGGCCTAGTGTCCCAATCATTGGTGCTGAACTGAGTGTGAATCTCAGCTCTGTTTGAATTTTGTCAAATGCTGTTCACTGAAGAAGTAAACACTTAAAAGAATTAGAAATGAGCATTCTCCAGATAGCTGTGTTAAACTTCAGTACAGTTTTTTCGAGACATAAAACTCCTTGTACATTGAGCTGTTTCTTTTATCTTTTGGACTGGGGAAAAAGCAACGTTTGCCAGTGTGAGAGAAGTGGAAAAAATGAAATGAAGGCAATAATAAACTCATATAGATACTGAATAGTGAAATACGGTGCTACCCATTAGTGCCTAAGGAAACTAATGATTACTAGGTTCCTGAGCAGATAGCCCAGTAAACTATAGGAAGAGAAATAATACTATTTGACAGTTCTGGCTGCCAATAATCTGTTGAATAAATTTAAAAAAAGAGAAAGAGTGTTTCAGTGTGCGATGCACAGAAACGTGAGTCAGAAGAATTAGGTTCTATTTCTAGTTTTGTTAAGTCTTCCTGTTTGTTAAGTATTCCTGTCTTGGGCAATCCGCATAATTTTTCTGGTTTAGATTTAATAACAGCTTATCTCACAGTGAGCTTCTTAAAATATTAGTTCATTAGTACATGTAGAGCTTTGTGAGGTTCCTCAGTGGAAAGCACTATATGAGGCAGAATTTTCAAATGAAAGATAAAATGATTCTGGGAATTGTAAATAATTTAGAAAGATTTTTTTTTTAAATGTGTTGTTTTAATGTAAGTATCAATTTCAAGTTGTCATGGTAATAATTCTTGCCTTTAGCAGGTGTTACCAGCTCTCAAAATTCTTATGAGCACAAGTAATTGTTTTTTCACTTTATAAAGGAACACTTTCATCAGAGACAACAAAACTTTACTTCAGTGTAGACAGAGTTAAAAACTTGTCCTAGGTCCATTACAACTTATTAAAAAAAATACAGTGCCTAAACCTTAGGGTTGCTCTCATCTCATGGAAGTATATTATGTGAAAGCAACTATTCTTAGCATTTTTGTTTTCCTATACGAGAAAATATATAACAAGGCATTGGTGAAATGAATAGAATGAACTGTAGCTTAGACATTGTAAATTACCATGTAATTCATTTTTCTGTGCAACTTGCAAATGTATGAAATTTCAGTGTTCTGAGTATGTATATTGATGAATCCACTAGTATATGAATCGTTTGCAGGCAGCAATAGAGAGTTAATTTTTTTTTTTCCTCTTTTACCAGAGTGTAGAATCTGGGCTGTGAAGAGCTCACTCGGGTACAACTGTTTCACTTAACAGGAAACTTGTATATTATTTCCTGCTTAGCCCCAGTGAAAGGGCATACTGTAAGGACGTTTGGGGTTTGTCTCTTATGTTTTTCTTCTATCAGGAAAGCCCAAGAGGAAATGATTTCAGAGCTCAGGCAACAGAAGTTCTACTTGGAAACACAAGCTGGGAAGTTAGAAGCCCAGAATCGAAAATTAGAAGAACAATTGGAGAAGATGAGTCACCAAGACCACACTGACAAGAACCGCCTGTTGGAGTTAGAGACTAGGCTGCGAGAGGTGAAAACTTGGGTTTAATCCCTCCAGACAAACTTACTTGAATGTACCACATTCTGCGTATTATAGTGAGAGCTAGAATTAAGTTGTCCTAGTTCTATGTGCTATAAATAATAGTATTTTAAGGTATATTACTTTATTTTGGCCTAGTGATGCTTTATTTTTCCCAGGAGTTTAAAAAAAAAAAAAAAAAAGATTGCTCATTGGAAGGAGCTAAGAGTAAGTATTTAGGATTTGTCTTTCTTAGACCTAGCAGAATCTGGACTTTCAGATTATCTAGCTTTCTTAGAATTGCATTTACATGTTTTTGTACAGTATCCTTATAATGTTATCCAGCTAGAATGGTTATGGGGTAGAAAAAAGCTTAGATAGGTACAACGACCGGCTTAGCTGCAGACTTAAAGATTCAGTTTATACTTTATTGTAGAACAGAAACTGAAGGACGCAAAAAAATGCTATAAGAAAATAGGAACTATGCTGCTTTATGCGTGATTTTCAGAAGTTTTCGGGAAACCTAACAGTAATAGAAAATATGTATTTTGAAAGATGTGTGAGCTATGGTTCATTCTTTGCTTTTAGTTTTGTATCAACTAGTTTGGATCTACTTCAAGTCGTCTTTTACCTTTTGTAGTCTCACTCCACTGGTTTTGAGCTAAGACTGAAATCTTATCTTTAGCTAAGGGAGTTGGATGACCAACATATGTCCGTATTTGACCAGAAGTTGTTTGGGACCAGTGTAAGGTTTCTGGCAGACTTGTCCCGCATCTGCAACACAACAGACAGATTCACGTGCAATAGCAGACAACCCAAGGAAAGTGCTAAGGTTTGCAATTGATTTTGAGCACTGAGATCTGTTCTGCTGTTTGTTCGGTTCTTATCCATTTCTGGAAGTTACGTGTTTATCCCTGAACATGGCGATATTTGTCTCAAGAAAATCTTCAAAAGAAGCCTTTCAAGTAAACCTAGAGCCAGAAGATGTCGTTGGTTTATTTAGAAAGAATCTGAAGGGAAAATGAAATATGAAAGTAAATGGGAAAATGTATATGATGTTTACAGATACAGTAATTTAAATTTCAGTTAGGGAAGAGTACCACAAACTACTTCAACTCGCATGCTTTTTATGTTAACATAAGTGATATTTATGTCATACCTGGAACTAGTCTTGTACCCTTGTTTTTATTTCAAAATGTCATATTTCTTTTGGCCTTTTTTGAAGCAAACCGGTAGTTTTTAGGCAGTAGACAAAGCTACATCCTTGACTTTTTGGTGACTTAAGCAATCTGTCAAGATGTGATTTTGGGATAGACATTGCCATATTTTCCTAAAGCAAGGTTTGAAAGGAGATTACATTTCCTGTAATTTCTCAGTTTGTGTATTAGTAACTCATATTTGGACGCTGCTTTTCCTTCTTCAGGTTAGCCTAGAGCATGAAGAACAAAAGTTGGAACTGAAAAGGCAGTTGACAGAATTGCAGCTGACACTCCAGGAGCGTGAGTCTCAAATTACTGGGCTGCAGGCTGCACGGACAGCCCTGGAGAATCAGCTCCGTGAAGCCAAAACTGAACTAGAGGAGACTACAGCAGAAGCAGAGGAAGAGATTCAAGCTCTCACGGTGAGCCCTAAAATTGGTACTGTGAGCCATATCTACAGATTTGAAATTATATAGGTGTGTGTTTCATAATGAAGTTAATATCAGTTTATACTACTTAATTTTTAATTGTCGAAGCAGGACATGAATTGTGCCTTAATATTGATAGAGGCAGGAATGACTGAAATGTCAAATTTCATCTTATTACCTTTAACCATATGACTGCTTCCTAGTGGTGATTCATTTGTGCCAAAATTGGCAAGAACATTATTACTTTGTGATGGGGTGAAAGTTCCATCTGTAATTGTTATTGTTAAGAGTTTTACTCTCTGATTTCCTTATTTAAGTAATCTCTCATGAGTTTGAAAGTACTTGGTGATCATAAATGTTTTGATGATTTCTTTCTGTCAGTTTTCCTGCTTTATATTTACTTGAAAAAAACAAAATTCCTAGGAAAATAGTGTTATTAACACCCTACTTTTATTATGGTGCTTATTTCATTAAAAATTGTCACATGTGCATCTTGCAGTCTCTTGTTAGGTGTGGAATGATATAAAAGAAGAAAATGTCAACTAAAACTCCCCCTTGTTTTTTCCTCTCAGTAAATGGAATGCTAAATTATATGCTGCTGGTTGCTGTCTCTTGAGTACAAAAAGACACTTTCAAACTGCTTGATTCTAAAAGATGTTTTCTAACCCTCACTGAAGCAGCTGTCTTCAACGACCTTCAAATCCTGTCATTTTGAAGTGTTGAAAATAAGCATTCTCTAGCTCCAGTGGCATTAGATAAAAAGAACTGTTGTTCTGAATATTTCTGCCAATGCATCCCTTTTTAGAAGGGATGATGGGCTCAGCTGAAACAGGGGCTTGTATTATATTGATGCTGTTGGATAGGTGGAAGGGAGAACCGTTTGCTCAGAGTTGTTCTAAAGCAGGTACATGCTGGGAAAGTACAGCAGCAGCATCAATGCTTTAACTGAATAGAACATGACATCAGATTCTTTTTTGCTCAAAACTGAGGTGGTCCCCTCCCAGCTGAAAGCTTTACATAACAAGTAATATCACCGCTAAGAGGATGATGATGTGCTTGATATCTTTATCTACACTACCGATGAAACAGATGAATGTATATGTGTTCACTCAGTTATTACTTCAATTATTCTGGCAAAACGATAGTGCTTTTGGACCAGCTGTTGTTGGAGTACAGCATCTCCAGATCATTTTAATCTTGTTTAGTGGGCTTGGGGTATTTCTGGTTTGGAATTTTTTCTACATACTTTTTTTATTTTTCATATTGCCCGTTGTGGTAAGATAACTTTTCAGCTTTCACATTTGATGTCTGCCAAACAGTTTTTCCTGTTTAGTCTCTTGGCTATAAGGAAAATGCTCTGAATAAAGAAAGGTGGCTGGATGTGCTAGTGCACTAGCCTTTCATCTGTTAAGGGCTGAGATAGCATATGACATTAGACCCTTGTTAAATCAGTTTGACAGTCTAAATGTATTTTGAGAGAGGCCATGAGGCTGAAACAAGAACTTTTGCTTGTCATGCTTTGCTTGTAAATTAGGAAGTAAAATGGTGCATGCAATACTGCATTCTTTAAAATAAGCGTTTGCACTTTTCAGCACTGGATGCTCTCTTCCAAAGAATTGATTATTCTGTTTCATTACTGATTCTTGGAGAGGTTCAGGATTAAATGGTACTTTATGATAGGATTCAGGTAGATTGGCTGAGCTGCTTGGGGTAGCTTGCATAACATTTCATTGTAGTTTTCTTTGCAAGCATTAAATTGTACGCAGTATTTATTTTACATGAAATATAAATCTGGATATGGAAGTGAAAACAAGTCAAATAATTTTAAAAGTCAAGAATGTACAAACTTAACATTGAATTGATGTCTTCTGGTGACCATTTAAGATGGAACCTTTTACATAATTCAGTTTGTGAGTTTGTACATTGGTCTAAAGTAGTTCAGAATTGGGAGCATGAGTATGTGTTGATTAAGTAGGATGTGACTTTTGCTAATCAGTTCTTTGCCACTACAGAGTGCTTTCATAGCCTGCAGCATCTGCCTTCCAAACTTTGCTTGCTGGTAGATTGTTCTGCAGTTTGTTTAGCAACAGCTGTTGGATTCTAATTCTAATGTATGAAAAATTGATGATTAACTTCTTACCTCCTTTAGGCACATAGAGATGAAATCCAGCGTAAATTTGAAGCCCTTCGTAATAGCTGCACAGTGAGTATTAAATACAGATCATTGAATTATTTTGAAATTAAGGATAAGAAAGCAAACAATTTACTTATTTACTCCTTGATGACACTAGTTCCTAATATAGACTTCTGGCTTCAAGGAGTTCGCAGGAGTTAGACTGATTGGATATGATTCCTTTTAGGCTTCAGGTAAACCTCAGTTTAGAGGTTTTATTCTGATTGTGAAATTGACACTGTTCTTCTTTTTGGAGAAGAAAGTAAATTAAAATATCTCATTGCAGTGCAGCTAATAAGAATGGTGTAGCAGCTGCAAAAAATGGTTGTGGGTAAAGATTTTTTCTGCTCACAAGGAGAAGAAAAGATCTCCCTGTCCAAATCCTGAGCTGCATTGTAGGTCTAGGCCAGCGTGGAAGAGCATTCGTGCTCCTCTGGGTTTTAAGGAGGACTTTAGCACCATTTGAAGAGAAGAGAAATTTTGAGTCAAATAATACACTGACATGTGGTCATCTGCTCAAGGAACAGAGTGGACTTAAGTGCCTGACTTGCACCTTCTGTTGCTTGAGATCTTTTGATGTGTTTCTACATTCATTTCATTCATCTAGGATGGATATCCAAGGGGTTGTCTGTCACTAGGGATTCTTGCCAGTTGACGCTATCTTCAAACTTATTTATGATGCTTGATGGAGAGCATCTGTCTTCTAGTGACGTGAATTATAGAAGTGTTGAATAAGGGCCACAATCATCTGGATCAGCACTGGTTGCAGACCTCTCCAGGCTTCTTCTACCCCACCCAGTAAGGAGGGCTTAACTGCTGTTTTTTCTCTCAATCTTGGTTATTTCCCCACTTCCAGCAATTTCCTCAAAATTAATTTTCCATGCTGCAGGATTAGTGACAGGTACTAAACAAGTATCTAACATACAAGATTTCATCCTTCAAAATATCTTTTCAGGATAGGAATTGTTTTGTTTTCCTCACTTGCTCTTTAGCGTTAGCAAGGCAATCTTCTACTGTGTTTATAGAATACACTGATGTGAAAAAATGAGGAAGTAGAGCTTAACAAAGAGTGTCAACTTCCTTAAAAAAAGAATTCTGCAAAGGAAACTACTCTCTTCACTTATTCAGATAGATCCTCTAGCTCCATGTATGTTATTGTGTATCCTACATCCACAGCTGTCTTCTTTTCTTTCTTTTGTTTTGTCTTGCCCTTCATTCAGAATGACAGGTTCCTGTGAAAATGCTTGTGTGATCTCCATGCCAGCAAAATCCGGTCATGTGGGAAATCCATAGCTTCTTTCTACTTCATTACAGGCCGCCTTTCAGAAGTTGTAATTCATTACCTGGTAGCTCCTTGGCTTTGTAAACATGGCCAAAAATCTCCGACAGTTAGGAGTGACCCGTAAGATTTTGAGACTATTGGGAGCTTTGAAGATTCTGCATAAAAGGATTTCTGAAAGTGTTGTGCATTGTAGGCCCATCAGTGGAATAAGTGGGTTCATGCATCGGACATCCTCATCAATAAGAAATTAATGATGCAGTTCCTAAATGAGTAATGTGTGCTCATGATACACTCTCTTTGCAGCCCAGGAGAATGCATGTGTAGTTTAATTGAGCATGGATAGAAACTTTCTTCTTCTGTGTTATGAGTGATTCTAGCTGTCACCCTCTTTACTGAGGAGCACTGAAGCAATGACAGGACAATCTTGTATTGACAATGAGGGATCAGGGAATGTTTATTTTGGTGCCTTCACTACATATTTCTATCTAACACTAGCCAGAATGATGCAGGCTTCACTTTTTGGTGACCATGTGATGCTGCTTGAAGGTGATTAGAACTTATGTTCATTTTAAAATGAGATGACACTTCAATTGAATAATTTTAATGTGCTTCTGTTTATGCAGTGTAATAAGGAGTGAGTTTATTCTCTGTGGCAAGTTTTCAAAATGCAACCTTTTTGAGATGAAACAAGCTCCTTGAACTGTTCTGGCAAACTTTGTTATGGAATTAATTTTTATTTAATGTCATTGACTAGTTCAAAACAGCATTAGAATAATGAAGATAAGATTAGACAGAAAGAAATATTATTGAAATATAGAATTACTTCAATACTTTTCTTAGTCTTCAAAAGATAGGTAAAAATATTTGTCTATTTTCTTTAATATTTCTTTTGGTTCACTAGCTTCTCAAAGGTCACAGTTTCTGTATGTAGAGGAGAGCCACACTTGGAATGTGTGTTTTGTTTTCCTGTACCCTCACTGCCCTCCTGTCCTTCCTTTTACTGAGGCCTCTGAGCCAAGTAGATGTTTATTATGTTCTGCTGTTGGTCCGTTTTAAATTTGTTGCGTTTTGGGGTTCATACTGAGAGACCATTATTATATAGTATATTTTAGGTCTTGATTTCTGCCTTGTTTGTGAATTCGTATTCAGTTGCTCTGATAGCTCTGAGCTGTACCTCCTCGTGACGTCTTGCTTTTACTAGGGATCAAAAAGAAAATGTTAGCTTCTGCTTTCTCTGACTCGCAGTTGTGGAAGAAATTATGACATATATGATTACAATAAACATTGTAAATGGAAATGCCTGCTCTCTACAAACACACACACACGCGCACACACACACAGTTTGGCAGTGGTTGTGTTCCAGGGCTGGTAAAGGGGGAAGTACCTACATTTAAAGAATTCTTCTATCAAAAGTATAATCCATACGATCCATTTGACTTTTTAAATTTAAAGGTATTTTGTAGGTGATCCGAAAAAATTCTAGAAATAATGTTAATCTTCCTATTTAAGAAAGCTTTTTGTCAGATAGTGGTTTTCAGCTGGCTCTTAGTAATAACTTATTGTTGGATCATCAACATATTTGAAGTAAAAAATGCAACTAGGTTGGTCTCAAATAGTGGTAGAATTACTTCAAAAAGAAAACATTCGGTAAACAGGCGGTAACATCTACAGAAACTTAGAGGAAAAACAGTCCCATAAAGTATTTGCACTCAAGTTAGTAAAATTTTATTGCTATTCCAAAAAACCATCACCTGAATCTTGGTCCCCCACCACTAATTACTATTACGTTTATTCTAGTAAGGAAACTGGAAGATCTTAGTATACTAGTTGGATATTGCATTTCCATTTATTCAAGGTTTCGCTAGTAAAAGAAGAATTGTCTCTAGCCCTCAAGATTCTTTTGCCGTCATCTTGTGCTGCTATTTTAAGCCTTACCGCACTTGATTCTGCGATTGTGTTAATGAACACTTGTCTATGAGAGTGGATATTGAGGCATGAAAACTGCAAGCCCTTTAGGCGCGTTGCATAATTTTGCTCATGCATGAAGTCCTGCTGACTTCAGTGTAATGTCCTGATTCCACACTGACTCGACAAGATGGCGTACAAGAATACTTCTTTACGTAGTCTTGAGAATTTCAAAAATTATGTCTAAAAATGTTATGTATTTTGATGCTATAAAAATTATGTGTCAAAGTAAAGAGATCTTGCCCGCTGCAATAAGGCTAATGCCCAGGCAAAAACTTTTATATGGCTTAGTTAAATTTGTAACAATATATATTGGCTGTTCGTTGGGAGGGGAGGGTTATCCCTGATTCTCCTTTCATGGAAATTGTGATGGTAGGTGTCAGTTATAGGCTAAAATGGAGCTTTATAGTTTTATAAAGTCAGATTAAAAAATCAGAGACTATTTAGTGCATTGATGCGGTGTTGCTGTGTCTAATGGTGCCTTTCTCACGAACGTCATCGTCCTTTGAGAATGAGGCTCATGGTTGGAAGAGGTAGCTTGTCCACTTGGGACCAGGATGGAGGAGCAATGGAGATTATGTCTGAGTAACAGGGTGTTGTGGGAAGGAGAGGATTGCTGACCTTTCAGTGTCCTGCTGCTCTGCAGCTACCAATGAGAGCAATGTCCCACCCTCAAGCTAAGCCATGAAGACTTTTTAGAAGCTGAGATCTCTCTGTGAAGTATATTTCAAGTCACAGAAGCCATCTGACTATGGCAAGGGGAGGGAAGTGAGGAGCTGATTGTTATATACCAATCATAGAAGTAGACTTACAAGACTGGTACCTATCTACTGCTGTGTACTTTAAGATGCTTGGTATTCTGTCTTCTCTGTGAGAAAAGCCCTGGGTCTCGGATCTAAGTGTTGAATAGGTTACGGTGAAGTGAGGCTGGTGCCTGCTCTCACTTCCCTCTCACAATAATTTGGGGCTGTGAGATAGCTCCTTTTCCCCCCCGCACCCATTTACTTCTGATGGCTAGCTTTCTAGTAAGAATTGGCATGGAGCCAGGGGGTGGTGGGGTGAGGATGGAGATGGGTGTGGAACAGTGCATCAAACTGGAAGTTCTGCATTAAGGTTGTACTAAAAATTGCATTAAACCCCAAATAACATGCTGCTGATAGCATCCTGAAACAGTTAACTTTGCCTGTGTCTTTACATTTGCTTGCACGTTTGTTCATGACATCTGAGAACTGAGGCATCCTAATGAAGGATCTGAATAAAGTTATGGAGAAGTTTGAAAACTGCAGTTAGTCATATTCTAAAACTGCTTCCTTTCTCCCACTACTTTGCCTGTGGTTTTTGGCACATAGCGCCCATGGATTAATTTTTGTACTTTATGTCATCATGGCCCTGAACCCCTGACTGCTCTGATATTTAATGTGTGATCCATGCTTGGAGAAGTTTGTAGGCCCAGCTATAACACCTATGAATCTGCAAAAATCTCACGATATAGAAACACTTTGCTGCTTTGAAACTGTGAGCTATGGGGAGGGAACTGTGCTGAAGAGTTGTTCTGCTTGGGTTGCTCAGTATAGTATTTAAAGACAAGATGCAATCTTCTGTACCAGTGTAAAGATAAGTTGTGTACTTAGATGTGGCATGTAATGAACAGTCCGACAAGATTATGATGGTCCAGAATTTGTTGTGATAAAGTTGTATGTAGTTTGAGGAGAAAATTTCAGTTGCTCTGTGAGTGATGATACGGTGGCACAGATAAGGCTACCTAGATGGCCTGAAAGCGCTTTCCAAGTTTCCAAATGTTTGGCTGTTTTATTACTTTAAAATGTGAAGATTTTTCTGATTATATTTTGCATTTCAAAAGGACATAATGATGTTTTCTTATATGTTTTCCTTTAGTATACTTACAAATTTAACTCCAGCATCCTTTTTTTTTGTTTTTTGCCTGGGGATTTCCTTAATTAAAACAAAACAAAACAAAGAAACCCAGAAACTATTACCTCTTTTTAGGTACAGGATTCTGGCATAAGGTGTATAGCCTAGGATGGCATTTCCCATCAAATGGTTTTTCTGATCTCTACATATTTTCTTCCTTTTTAGTTTCCAGAACAGGCATTTATATTACAATTTGTTCCATTTTCCTACGTTACTACTTCCTGATGCTATGTAGGCTTTATAATGTTTATAAACTCTGTAACCCTATTGATGTCATAATATACCTACAGATTGCTTATAAAAATCGAGTATGTTGACATATTTCCCCTTTCCTCATGAAAAAGAGGAAAACTGTACTGAGAAGAAAAAATTCTCTTAAAAAAGAAACCCAGAAACTATTACCTCTTTTTAGGTACAGGATTCTGGCATAAGGTGTATAGCCTAGGATGGCATTTCCCATCAAATGGTTTTTCTGATCTCTACATATTTTCTTCCTTTTTAGTTTCCAGAACAGGCATTTATATTACAATTTGTTCCATTTTCCTACGTTACTACTTCCTGATGCTATGTAGGCTTTATAATGTTTATAAACTCTGTAACCCTATTGATGTCATAATATACCTACAGATTGCTTATAAAAATCGAGTATGTTGACATATTTCCCCTTTCCTCATGAAAAAGAGGAAAACTGTACTGAGAAGAACTAATTCTCTTTAAAAAAAAAAAAATATATATATATATATATATACACACAATATATTTGGAATTTCAGTTGAGCCGTTTTGAAATTGTCAACTAAGATAACGTTAGGAAAATATTCAAGAAATGAGATCACATCATTTTTTCTTTGGGAATCCTTCTTGACTATGGTTTTTGCCTTAAGCTTGCCAGAAATATTGTGCAATGTAAAATGTAATAGTAAAATTTAAAGTGCTTTGGTTTAGTTTTGGTTATGTTCAGGAAACAAGTCAAAATCTCAGAACACAGAATAAAAGGGAATGGGAGCTTAACTTCCAACTCTAAAGGGATGAAATCAACTTGAAATGTAGCCATTTAAAAAAAATCAATTAATTATACTATTAACTCTGCACATCACCTTATCAATTTTGTGAATTTTTTTTCCCCATCTCTGCTTTCTTATATTTCAAAAATAGTTGCATTGATTTACACAATGTAAGTGGAAGAAACCACAGCTGTATAACAGATTCCTTAAAACTGCCTAGATATATGGTGTGGTCAAATGTAAAATTAAAAAAAGAAAAATACTAGAGGAAAAAGGGAGGGTTCATCTGATCTGGTAGTTAGTAGAAATCTCAGATGTGACCTGTAAAAATGGTAGGTAAAACACTGTATAACCAGGAATGTTCTTTTATTCCTTTTTGTTTGTTTAAATACATTTCTAAGTTCTTAATCCTACAATGATGTAAACACTGACACATCTTTATGATAAAGTCTGGGTTCTTTGGGAACTTGATACGTAACATACAGAATAAAATGCACATTTTTGAATACAGCAGTAAGAATGTTCAACAAACAACTACGCTATCGGATTGTCACCAGGAATGTTTTGTTTTAGAGTATGAATCACTTTGAGTTGACCCTAAACATATGGGTAACAGGAACTCCCCTTCACCCAGCAGGGAGTCATTTCAGTTGGACTTTTTCTGCCAACAGTTTAAAAATCAAATGCTGTTAATTTAGATTTAGGAGAGGCATGATAAAAAGCTGCCAATACATGCCTTGAAGGCTCTTCAAAAAGAAATGGTTGTCATCTTTCCAGATAGCTGAGAAGAGCTGCCTGTTCTGCTGTGTTAGATATTTAAGTCTTCGGCTTGAATAGGAAACCAGAACATTTAAAATTGAATGTGTGGCCAACTATGTTCTGGGATTTTAATTTTTCCCATTAAGTGAAGTACATTATTCGCTTTACTTTGAGATATTAGGCAGAAACGCCTCTTGGACATATCTGTAATAGTTGAATGTGAATTATTTTATAGAACTTTCTGGTTTCAGAAATTCTTATTATTAAGCTGTTTTCAAGATTATGTTGAAGTATCTCCTGTTATGATGACATTGCTTTTGAAATAGGAGGAGGTTGCAGGTATTCATCCATCCAGTATTCATGGGCTTTCATTCCTAAAAAGTAAAAGGGAATGTGAAAACAGCCCACTGTTGTTCATATTTTTCTTTACATTGAAGGGGAGCTTCATTTAAAGTGCATAATATAATGCTATTCTGATTTAACAAGCAGGTGTTTCCACTTCATTAAAAGCAAGGCTATTGTCCTTGTTGAATTTTTGCTTTTCACTGATTTTTCTATTAGCTTATTGTGCTGCCAGATTTACTTTCTTCATTTATCTTGTGCTGCCATCCATAATGCCGTTGCCTTGGTAGAATATATTTCTTTAAAATGTTCTGCTTTTCCTGGCTACATACAGTGTTACTTACGGTAATCTAAACAACTGCTAGGCAGACTTCAGATTATACTGCCTCCGTTACAGCAGCACCTCTTGTCTGGTTTTCTTAAGCATCACACTTCAAAAATTTTTCTGTGAGAAGTATTAGCCTCATTTCACTTAAGGGGAAATTGAGGCAAGAAAGATAGTGTTTTGGCAAAGGCACACTGTAAGTCAGCAGCAGATCTGAGAATACAACCAGAACTCCTGACTCCTAATCCAATGCTTTAGATGTGACAGTTCTCTCTCAAATAATAAAGCGAGTGCAGCACATTCATACGCTAAATCAAGTTAATAAAAATTCAGGCTATTTTCTGTAAGAAACAGAACTTTCTTCCTACTTCAAGTACACTCCTGTGCATAAAATCTGCAATTACAATATTGCTTGTGTTTAAATTTGGAGAAAAAAAAAAAAAGAGAGAGAAAGAGAGAGAATGTCAAGTTGTCTACTTGTTTGTATAACGGATTTGGAAGAGCAGCTGAACCAGCTCAGTGAAGACAACGCAGAACTGAACAATCAGAACTTCTTCCTGTCCAAACAACTTGATGAGGCTTCAGGGGCCAATGATGAAGTTGTCCAGTTGCGAAGTGAGGTCGACCATCTCCGTCGAGAGATAACCGAGAGAGAGATGCAGCTCACCAGTCAGAAACAAGTAAGGCTTCATATATCTTGATCACAATTTCTTCAAGCTGGTTAGGAAATCTCCCGAAAAGGCTAAAAATTCTTTTGTATCTCTAAATTCTCTTAAATTTCTTTTAAACCTGGAATGAATATATGAATATTCATTCCTTTTAAGAATGAATATGCTTCCAGGGGCAATTTGACCATTTTATCATTTATGCCTTCTTTCCCAGAGCAATTGAATGGATTGAAATTTTTAGTGTTTTCCTTTGTATTTTAATGCGATAGTGTTTAGAAATTTTGCACTCTGAAGGTATTACCACTTAGAATTATTCATTTTAGTTTTGTGACCCTGGCAATTCTGAAATCTTCGTAATGAGGTAGAATTGACATTAAAAGCAATCACAAGTGAATATATGGAAGCCCTGAAATAAATGAGTTGTGATTTACGGGCTTATGTTTGCTGCCAATTTGCATGTACTGTAATTGAAATGGTAAGACTGAAGCTTAAAGTGCATGCTTGATGTGGGATGTGAGAATTGATAGGAGGATTTATTTTTAGACTATGGAGGCCTTGAAGACAACATGTACAATGCTGGAAGAGCAAGTAATGGACTTGGAGGCCCTGAATGATGAACTCTTGGAGAAAGAACGTCAGTGGGAAGCATGGAGAAGTGTTCTAGGGGATGAGAAGTCCCAGTTTGAATGTCGTGTCAGAGAGTTGCAGAGGATGCTGGATACTGAGAAACAGAGCAGGTCGTCTTCTCTCCCACTCCCTGCCTTTTATTAACTTGTACGAAAAAACTCTGTAGAATGTAGTATAAAAATTATATTTAGAATAGGATATGGGAGTTGGAACTAAATATAAATTCTTCTGAAGTAGTTCTAAAAGTGGTATATTAGTTAATAGATGTTCACCAGTGATACGGTTCCTTTAGTTTCTTTGCACATGAGTGTTTCAGCAGAGAATGGTTTTTATCATTGTAATTTATAAAATGACTTGATTTCTTATCTTCTACTTGATTATACAGAAAACTAGTCCTTGCTCCCGTTACTCTGGGGTCTTGCAGTTTCCAGGCTCTAGTTCTAGCAGGGGCAGAAACAGGGTTATGTAATATAAAAGTGTTGCAGCAAACAGTCTGGCTTTTATAAAGTAACATCCTGAATTTGAGGCGAACCTCTGAAAGAGTTACTGATGCCATTGCGTGCTACAAAGAAGACAAGCCCCGAAGAAAGTTAGGTAACGTTATTTTCCATTTTAATACAGAGTGCGAGCAGATCAGCGTATTACTGAATCTCGCCAGGTGGTAGAACTAGCTGTCAAAGAACACAAGGCAGAGATTCTAGCTCTCCAGCAAGCTCTAAAGGAACAAAAACTCAAAGCTGAAAGCCTTTCTGACAAGGTCAGTACTTTTCAACCCTAAGCTTTCATAATTAACAGAGATGTTTTCCTTTTCTAGAGATGTTACTTGCAGAAATGCAATCTTGAGCAGAATTTTCTAGGGGCTAGAGCAAACTAAAAAAGACTTGAGGCCATAGAATAGAATTCTATCTTCAAGTCAAAGACTTCATTTTTCCTACTGAGTAAGACTAAAGGAAAAAGCAGCTCATGATGTCTGGAGTGTGCAATGAAATCTTTCAGTAACTTGATTTGCCATTTGAGCAATGGCATGCCAAATTGTTTCTTTCTATGTTTTTTCCATTACAGTAAGTAGAGAATAATTGAATCATTTTTCTTGTGCGTGTGCTTTGTGAAGTTGAATTTTGAGGTTATTGAACTTTGTTAGTGTTCTATGGTGTTCTGACCGTCTGTTCCACCTGCCTAGCTCAATGACCTGGAGAAGAAGCATGCTATGTTGGAGATGAATGCACGCAGTTTACAACAGAAGCTTGAGACAGAAAGGGAACTCAAGCAGAGGCTTCTGGAGGAGGTAACCTTGGAAACTTAGGTTATAACTTCAGAAGAAGGTTCCACATCTGAAACCAAAACGTTGCGTGAATAGTTTAATTATGAACAAAAAATTCAGTGTTACAAATCCTTCCTTCTTCTATATAACTCTGGAGAATTAATACAGATTTCTTTTTGGTTAACTTTTTATTAAAGCTTAACAAAATGGGTGTTTATGTCAGTGAAAAGTGAACTGCTTCTCAAGGGAAACTGAGCTGGGAGCCAAGAGTGACAAGCAAGGCAGGCAGGGACAGGGACCTTGCAGCCAGTGGGCACAGTCCCACAGTATCTGAACAAAAGAAGAGCAAGGCAGGTCTGGTGACAGTAATCAGGTTCTGCCAGTGGCCCAGTGATCATCAGAGAAGCTTGCAGTGACAAGACAAGTCCTAGTCTGCAACGCAAGCTCAGGATCAGCAAAGTCCGTGGCTTGGCACAGCATGTCTACAACAGTTCTGGCCAGAGCTTAAAGGCAGCTCTGGAGCCAACAGGCAGAGAGAGTGTGTGTGGGGGGGGAGGCCCCAGATGAGGCTTTTCACACCTCTTTCTCATAATTTAGCTGTGCTCGCAGAAGTCCGATCCAAGGTTACGCAGCTGCACCATATCAGTGAGACTTTGAATGCAGGCAGCCAAACCTGGGTAGTGGGGGAAGAGACTATGGAGGAGGATTATGGGAGAAGGATGGTTACAGACTGGTTAGGGCCTGCTGGTGTACTCAGAGTGCTGACAAGTTATCCCAGAGGTGACCGCTCCGTTGTGCGTCACAGAAAAGTGTTCTGCCTGATTTGGTAATACGTAAACGTTAGTGGTTTTCAGGGACTTTCTCATCAAGATAGTATGAAGTCTCAAGGTATTAGGAGTAATTTATCATGTGCTCTTTGCTGCTGTTAGTTGGAGACAAAGATATAAACAATTAGAATTAATTTTCCTCATCACATATGACTGCTAAAGAGGCAGGAGTTTATCCTGGTTTATAGGAAAGGTCTCTTTTACTGGGAAGTATTGAGATGGCTTTTGGTGAATGTACAGAAGGCTTCAGAAACTGGCATCCAGAAATTGTTTGGGTATCTCTGTGCAGTCTAACAATTACAATTGTGCGGTCTACAATGGAAATGCTACAGAAAGCAAATTACTTGGACGTGTTGTTGAAAAAGATGGTCTTGCTATGAATTAATGTAAATGTACAACATAGAAATATTTTTTTTAGTTGCAATGCATTCTGAAGAGAAGGAGTTTTGAGTTCTGCAGCGATACTTAATAAGGAGTGATAGCACATAGTAGCTTTTGTTTAAAAAAGAAAACAAACACTGTCCTTTGTTTTCCTGTTAACAGCAGGCAAAGCTGCAACAGCAAATGGATCTGCAAAAGAATCACATCTTCCGCCTTACTCAAGGTCTGCAAGAGGCTCTAGATCGAGCAGATCTTCTGAAGACTGAAAGAAGTGACCTGGAATATCAGCTGGAAAACATTCAGGTGAGGATGAGTAAAAAGTGGGCAGGACTCTGTGGTCCCCTTTTAATGTGAGGTTTGGAGATCTGACCTACTATTTCTGTGTGACATTTCCTTATACTTTTTTTGTTTTGTTCAGTTCTGTTCTGCCATTGAGTTGATCTATTTGTTTCTATTACTAAGATGAAATTTCTTGTGTATCTGTGTGTGCTTCACAGGTTCTCTATTCCCATGAAAAAGTGAAAATGGAGGGCACTATTTCTCAGCAAACCAAACTCATTGATTTCCTGCAGGCAAAGATGGATCAACCAGCAAAAAAGAAAAAGGTGGGTGAAAAAGGTTTGAGAGGCATGGAGGAAATGCCTCATGGCTTTGTGATTTAGTTATGTGCTGTGTATTCAAAATATTCTGTTTTATCTTTCTTTATGTTTAACACAAATGTGTCCCCATTTAAGAACATTCTGAGTCACTGAACACAAGCTTTCCTGGGCAGAATGTCTTCCTTGTGGCCTCCCCAGTATTTTGTCATTCCTTCGATAGTTAGGTTACAACCCAGTAGCTACACCGCAATGAGGCTGTAGGCATACAGAGTTTTAAACATGCAATTATTTTTAAAATGGTAAGTATATACGTGTGTATGAACACACTGCGTATCTAGAGTGGTTGTCTTGTAGTTGCAGCATAGGATTGATTAGTCAGGAGATATGGCTTGTGTCACATCTCTGTCATAAGCCGTTCTGTCATTTTGTATTAAGTAACTTAAATTAATTTTAACCACATATTTTGAGATCCTCTGTTTAGATGCTTTCAGAAACTCAAGGTGTGAGTACTGAACAGGTAATGTATGTCCCTCTTTAAATTAATACATATCACAACATTTTCTTTCCAGTGCCAATTTGAACTAAAAATCCATCCTTACATGTATCAGAATTACCATTAGGCCCTCTGGCCGGACTGCCGCTAGCTAGTTTCACTTTGCCTAGATTAAGCCATCTCTTACTAGGAGTTAGGAGTTGTCTGTGTGTTTCTGTTGCTAGGGCCTGTTTAGTCGGCGGAAAGAGGACCCTTCTTTACCCACACAGGTTCCCCTGCAATACAATGAGCTGAAAGTGGCACTGGAGAAGGAGAAGGCTCGTTCTGCTGAGCTGGAGGAGGCTCTACAGAAAACACGCATTGAACTCAGATCTGCTCGTGAAGAAGGTAGGGGTTAACAGAAAAGGTGAATCTGGAGGAGACGCACATTTTTGGTCTGAAAACATGTCTTAAACTGTGGCTACTGTAACAATAACATATGTTATTTAATTCTTATCTACTGCTGTGAAGATGCAGTAAGGCTGCACATTTTTCTGCGGGTTGTAACCATTGAATGGTTACACAGAACCACTGCTATTAACTAGTGCTTCATATCTGTTATGTTAATGAGATGTATTTATCTCATCCATAGCTGCTCATCGGAAAATATCAGACCACCCTCATCCATCCACTCCAGCCACAGCCAGGCAGCAGATCATCATGTCTGCTATTGTCCGCTCACCAGAGCATCAGCCTACTCCAATCAGTCTGCTAGCTCCACCCTCCAGTCGCAGGAAGGAATCTTCTACACCAGAGGGTAGGTTCTTGGTGGCTATGAGCTTTTTTGTTCCTATTTGGAATATTTCAATGTTATCTCTCCCTCTCTCTCTCTCTCTCTCTCTCTCTCTCTCTTTTTCTTTTTTTTTTTTTTCTTTTTTTTTTTTTAGGCAGGTATATTTGGTGGCATGCAAGTATATCTGCAGGTATTCTGAGATATAGCCAGCATATCTGGAAGTTGATGTGAGGAAAACTGGGACTTTGTTTCTATGAGAACATGGTATTAATTTCAAGAACAAATATTGCCATGATAGGAGTATTAAATGATAAATTTTGGGTTAAAATTCTCTATTTGTTTTATGTAATTTATTTCTGAGCACTTCAGCAAAAAAAAAACATTCGTAGTATGAATTGTTTTGAAACATATGTTTTTCCTCAGGAATATGTTTTCTGTAACTACCCTGTCAAAAGGTTTTATGGATAATTCCTTAGCAATTAACATTCTTCCTCGTCTAAGCTGCAGAGTTGTTCTGCTGAGCAGAAAAATTATATTAAGGTTTTTACTAAAGGAAAAAGGCTTCTGGCAGGCATAAAGGGAAGATATTAGGTCAAAGGAGATGCTGGTTTCCTATTGACTATAAAAAGAGGATACCCTTGCATACCTTGAAAATCTAGGGAAGAGAGTCATCAGAAAAGGTGGAAGGATTGAGGGCTTTGCTCATTTATTCTTAGAGAATTAATATTAGGGAGTGAGTGTTGAACCCAGAGACTCTGACCTAGAGCCAAGGGCCTTTAGCTGGGGATGATAAAAACCAAATACACAAACTGACACTTTTCCCAGAAGGGTCAAGCAGAGTCGGTAACTCTGCAGTCCAGCTATCAGAGGTAGTTGGGGCACAATGTGCTTGCCTTAAGGATGGGTAAGATCAGTATTGGAAGATGTCCTCAGTGGCAGATAATGGGCAAGGAAGAGAATCATATTCATTAGTAGAAGAACATGCCTTGAAGGATAAACTTTGTTCATTAACAATCAAAATTACAGAATAGATTTGCTAGCAGGGATTTTAGGTATGCTTTAAGGCATGCTGGCACTGATGGTCAGTATGAACACTATGTGAAGGCCTGCTGTCGTCATCAATAAACAATATAGTTGCAAAAGGGTTTGTTAGCGATGAGCGAAGTTAGGAGATTAGTTTAGCTCACTGTAAGAACTGAAGCTAACTTCAGACTTCAAATTTGGTTGGATTGATTGGCATAATCTTGCTACACCAGGTATTAGCCACTTCAGTCCTACAGTCTGTTCTGAAGTGACGTTCTGTTGCATCTGTATAAGGTGGTTACTGAAGTGGTAATGTAGCTTAAGATTTGCAGAATGCAAAGGAAAATAAACAGTGCCT